TCTCTCTCTCTCTCTCTCTCTCTCTCTCTCTCCTCTTTTTCCTTCTCTTTTGAGCTGATCATTCCACGCGTGCAAGCGCGTCCGCGACGCATTTGTTTATACTTTGCGCGACGTTCGCGAAAGCGATCGTTCGTCGATGCGTTTTTGCGGATTACGCGCACTACTTCACGGCTGAGACAGCGGCCGTGTTTTTTCTTCGTAAAGCAAATGCACTTTCCGCGGAGAGAAGTCGCGCGCGAAGGACCCTGCCCGACACGCGTTGGTCGGCTCGAGACAACACGGAAAATTATTTTTGTCGTCACGTCGTCCCTGCTGAAAATTTTGTCCTGCTCTCCTCGCTCTCGTTCGCGCGCGCCGTCCGCACTTGCACCTCCGACCGTCAACCGACCACCAGTTGACTGTCGGAAACGTTCCCGACGGCTCGTCCCGACCTTGGAAATGATTTGTTTTGGCCCGTGAGGTTGCGCGGTACCGATTCTAGTTAATGCATTTTATTCACAATATTCGCACAGTGGCTTTCCCTATCGCGCGTTGGCAAAGGATGGCGCAGCGCGGCATTCCGACGCATTGTGCACTCCATTATTGAAAATTGGTGAAAATGCGTGCGCCATTCGGCGCGGGAAAGTGTATCCGCGCGTCCGTGATGGTCTCAGCTGCGTTCAAACTGCTCTCAGCAAGAATCAATATTTCGCGAATGCTTCGCGAAAGGTTTTACGGCTGACAGTACGGCCTTTACAACGCAGTGCCGTTTGTCGCGACACTGCAGTCAAGAGGAAAACGTCGCATACACTTATATTTGGACGGCAGCCAGAGGTCTGCGGAAAATATCGCGACATTTATTACGGCGGAATTTTCCGAAAATGCAATCGGCGTATTAGCCCCACGAAATAGGAGTGCACTCCAGATGCGTTCCGTGGTTTTGCCTTCGTTGAAACAATTACTTTCGTGTTTGAAATTAAAATATTCGCTACACACGATTTCGTTGGCATTGTCTTTTACTTGTGTCAAAGTAGGATATGTGTTAATGAGAGAGCAAAACACGCAACTGGCAATTCAATTTTTTTTCTTGGAATCATCAGACATTTGGTCGATCCCATTCCAACCAAATCGTCGATCAATTCCGTTGGAACTAGCAAATAGCTGTTGGCCAAATCTGCTAATTACAATGAAATTAATCGACGATTAATCGGAGTTTGACAAGAATTACCCTAAATTAATAAATACTATTATCGTTTGTAATCCGTATTATTTTATTAATAAAGACTTGCATCCCACTTCTTGTAACATTTCCTATATGGTTTTTGCAAGGATTCCAACGACATCATTTATTTCGACAGAATCTTTTTTCCATTTTCTTCTAAATGTGGCGCATCACTTTAACACGTATATATCTTTAATCTACCCATTAATACAATTTTATGAAAAAATAACTTAAGATTTTAAACGCTGCAAAATGTAAGGCTAAACTTGGCCGTACTCTCTTGCTCCGATGCACCAGACCAAATTTCGTCTCGACAACAGAATCCTTTGTGTTATTCGCTCTCACTGATCATTTTCCGATGACTTCGTGCATACGAGGGTGGTCTGAAAAGTTTCCGACCTAACAAAGATACAAGTCATTTTTTCTGAAAATTGTTTTTTATTTTTCAACATAGTCTCCTTGTAAATCTACACACTTCTCCCAGCGATGCTCCCATCTCTGTAACCCGTCGAAATAGTACTCGGCGTTTTTCTCTGCAAAATAATTGTTCACGAAGGTGATTGCCTCTTCATTTGACGAAAATCTCTGTCCTCCGAGCGCAATTTTTAGATGAGGGAACAAAAAGAAGTCGCTTGGGGCTAGATCTGGTGAGTAAGGTGGATGGTCAAGCAGTTCAAACCGTAATTCGTGGATTTTCGCCATGGCAACCGCTGAGGTGTGAGA